TCACGTGTAATATGTATAATAAGTATATCATATTCGTATTTAAGTTATTCATGTCATTCATGTATTCATGTCATGTCTAAAATCATGTTTGACACAAAACACGACATGATGACATGAATTGCTGAGTCTACTCAAATTCATCATTAGCTATAAGACTTAAATCATGATGACTTAAAGATTGGATTTCATCAATGTTTTTGTTTGTATTGCCTTTGGTTGAGCATTCATCTTTACAAGACATTGAATCATTTCTCCTTTCTTCTCCGTAAAATTCCTCTAACTTTTTTAGAATTTTGTTTGTCATTGAGCAATTTGAAACTCTGTTAAATTTAATGGGATTTAAAGCACACAAAAGAGTATTCATTGCTTTGAAATCATTTGCAACTTCCTGTTTCTTCATCAGCCCATTCTTTTTTTCTTTTAGAATTTCTTCCCAGTAGTGAAAGAAATCTTTGTAGGCACTTACTGACCATCAATGGTTACATGCCATAGCTCGTAATTACAAGCTTTTACATAAATGGATATCCTTAAATGCCAATAATGATAGTTTGTTCAATCAAACAATGGTGGTTTGTCTATGGATTATCCTTTTGCAAAAATCACACTATCAATTGTAGATTTCATGTGGATCACTCTTAATGATGTTAAGCCTTTAAAAATAGGAAACTAACTCCGATACCACTTGTTGGTCCTAAGTAAGATATGTTAAAGGGGTGAATAACACTTTTTAAAGATAATGATAAACAAAAAATTTAAGTGCAAAAAATCAAATTAAACCAAAGAATAGAGATCACCAAATGTGCTTGAATGATGAAAGATTGATAGACCATGTAGGATGGTTCAGCCGTCCTTGACCTATATCCATTACCTTGACAAGCCCATCCAAGGATTTCTGAATCCATTATTTGATGGAATTGTAGCTTCCACCAAGCCTTTACAAAACTAAGCTATTCCAAGCTAAAAAACAAGATGTACAAATCCCAACCCAAGTGCTATCTTTACACTCAAAAACACTTGAACAACCCAAGCTTAATAAAACCCCAAAATGTTCCTATCACTTTGTAGCAAACAACAAATGTATTTAAAATCACTCACTGATCAAATTACAAAAAAATAAACTCATTACAAAATTGTCTCTTAAAAATAAAAAATTATAACACAAGACTCATTGAAGAATTATCCTTTAATCTTTTGATTTTGAATGCTTTGATCTTTCTTATAGCCTAATTCATTGTTCTTCTTCAACATTTTTTTATGGATTTATAGGAGAAAGATATATTTTAACTGTTAGAGAATTTATTTAAGTAATGAAAATGGAAGATGTCTTGCCAAAAGTGAAGATAGAGATGTTGGAATATGATTTCCTCCAATATAGGCATCATAGTCAGATGCCTTTCTCGAGTAGTTGGTTACCATAATCTTAATGAGCTTTTTGGAATGAAAATCTCTTGTGTAATTGAACGTCAAATGCAGGTAATCGAATGCTCTATCCTTTTATGAGCTTCTATTTTAGAAAGTGTAATTAGGTAATCGGATGTCATATGTAAGACGTACAAAACTAAGCTATCCCAAACTCCAAAACAGGATGTACAAATCCTAACTCGAGTGCTATTCTTACACTAAAAAACACATGAGTCACCCAAGCTTAAAAAAACCCCAAAGTGCTCATCTCACTTTATAACAAACAAGATATGTGTTTAAGATCATTCACTGATCAAATTACACAAAAATAAACTCATTACAAACTTGTCTCATTAAAATAGAAAAAGGATTAAAAACATATTTGGCCCCTAAACTTTATAATTTTGGTCACATTGGTACCTAAGAAATTTTTCTATCACATTGGTACCTAAATGTTCAAATTCGTTATCACGCTGGTACTTGAGACTAACACCATTAGATAACCTTGCTGACGTATAATGAACGTCCCAAAACTTACTAACACGTGTCAAAGAAGTACAGTCATGCCTCATCATCAATGCCACACCATGCCTACATCATCTTTAAAAGAAATTTTCAAAAAATTCTTAAAAATTCTAAAAATTTTTTAAAAAATTTTAAAAATTTTATAATTTTAAAAATTTTAAAAATTTTATAACTTTAAAAATTTTAAAAATTTTTAAAAATTTAAAAAAATTAAAAAAAATTCAAATACAAATTCTAAAAAATTTCAAAAAATTCCAAAAATTTTTTAAAAACTATAAAAAAAATCTAAAAAAATTTTGAAATTTTTTTTAAAATTCTAACAATTTTTTCACAAATTCTAATAATTCTAAAATAATTTTAGAAAATTCAAAAAATTTAAAAAATTAAAAAATTAAAATTCTAAAAAAATTTTAAAAAATTTAAAATTTTTAAAAATTAAAAAAATTAAGATTTTGAAAAATTTTAAAATATTCTTAAAACTTTTAAAAATTTAAAAAATACTAAATTTTCTAAAAATTCTAGAAAATTGTAAAAAATTCAAAAAATTAAGGGAACTTAAAATTTTTCAAAAATATTCCAAATTTTAAAAAAAATTCAAAAGAATTCAAAAGAATAAAAAAATAAAAATAAATTAGGATTTTTATAAAATTTAAAATTTTGTTAAAATTCAAATAAAAAATAACAAAATCTAAAAAAAAAACTAAACTAAAAAATGTTTTGAAAAAAAATAATTTTTAAACAATTAAATTTTTTTAAATTCTAAAATTTTTGCATTTTTTTAAGCTCACAATTTCAATTTTTTATATATTTTTTGAAATTTGTTTTTATTTTTATTAAATTTTTAGGTTGTTTATTTTTTTTTTCAATTTTAAAAAATGTTTCAAAATTTTTAAATAATTAATTTTTTCATAAATTTTTAGAAATTTTAGATTTTTTTTATTTCAGTTTTTTAAGTTTTTGTGATTTTTATAAAACTTTAAGAAAATTTATTTTTTTACTTTTTTATTTTTTAAAATGTTTTCAGAATGTTTAAAATTTTATAAATAAAAATAATTTTATAATTTATAAAATAATTCATAATTTTAATTTATTTTAAAAAATTTTAAATTTTTAAAAAGTTTTTATGAAATTTTAAATATTTGTTTGCAAACCAAAAAAATTTTAGAATTCTTTTAGTATTTTTTATAATTTTATAATTAAAATTTTATTAAATTTTAAAAATTTTTAAAAATATTTTAAAAACTTTTTCAAAATTTTTTTAGAATTATTTTGAATTTTTATAAGTTTTAAATTTTTTTGAAGTTTTTAAAAATTTTTTAATAATTTTTATAATTTTTGAAATTTTTGTGAAATTTTTGAAATTTTTTTGAGTTTTTCTTTTAAAGATGACTTGGATTTATGATGTGGTGCTTATTAGACTTTTTGACAAATGTCAGCATCTTATTAAATATTTATGCTATATCAACAAAGTTAACTAACAACATTAGTCTCAGGTACTAATATGATAACAAATTTGGACATTCAAGTACCAATGTGATAAAAAAATTCTTTAAATACCAATGTGACAAAAATTACAAAGTTCAGAGGCCAAATATATATTTTACCCATAGAAAATTTACATAAAAAGATTCATTGAAGAGGATAATCTTTTTATTTTGAATGTTTTAATCTTTTTTATAGCTCAATTCCTTCTTGTTCTTTAACCTTTTTGGATGAATTTATAGGAGAAAGACACATTTTAGCTATTAGATAATTTATTTGAGTAATGAAAATGGAAGATCTCTTGCCAAAAGTGAAAATAGAGCTATTGGTGCATGATTTCCTCAAATATGGGCATCGAAAATCGAATGCCTTTCTTGAGTAGTTGGTTGTTATGATCTTGATGAGCATTTTGAAATTAAAAAATCTTTTGTGTAGTCGAATGCCAAATGTAGGCAGTTGAATGTTCAATCCTTTAATGAACTTCTGTTTCAAAAAATGTTCTTAGGTAATTGGATCCCATATGCAAATAGTCAAACGCCTTAACACTTCTTGCTTCTATTTTGAAATTACCTTTAAGCAGTTCTAAGGTAGCTGTAGGGCAATTGGATGTCTTAACAAAGTTATGTTTTTTTCTTGGCCTTTTCTTGCATCGTTTAATTTTAATTACTTTAATACTTTTCCAAATCAATTTGTCTTGATTTTAGCCACCTTCAAAAGTTGTTTATCTCATATTTGATTTTTGGCTTCACTTCAAGATTGATTTGCTTCCTCAAAATAAATTTCTTGAACAACATCTTGTAACATTCACTTTAAAACTTTCTTCATCTTCTATATTAGGTTTTCCTTAATACTTGATTAAACGTAAATCTTCATGTACTTGAGTTAATCACTTGATAACAAATGGTTGAGCCTAAAACACTTAATCAAACTCATTAGACAACCAACAATAAAAGGGTTTTGGTATCATAAAAAGCACTATGGGTTCAAATGACTCAACATTGTGTTTTACTTTAACAAAATTTTTATTTTGAAAAACTTGTTTTGAGCTCTAATGTTTTTAAGAAATTAAATTATAAGATAAGAATCAATATTTGTTTTTTTTTATATATATATTTATAGAGTTTATATTTAACGCGCTGTTAATATATAAATGTTAAACATTTGAATCACACAATGATAATTCATAAAAAAAATTAATTTTAAAATTTTAAAATCTTAAGAAACAATAACAATTAATCTTAAAAATATATTTATAATTAATTTTTTTATGAAATATCTTTATGTGATTTTTTATAATAATACTTACGATGCATCAAATATAAATATATATTTATAACTTCTTTTTTCAAAATTGAAATAAAAAATTTCTACTTAATTCAATTTTCATGTTACTTGATATGTTATGACATATGTCAAACAAATAGTGCTGGCTTTCATGTAAGGTTAGATTTAATATAAACGTAGACCAAAAAATTATTTCTTATAATATTAAAAAATATATGAATTAACATATTATTTTTAAATTATAAAATCCAAAACGGCGTGCATGTCAAACTTTGTGAATACCACTACAATTGGCGACATATCATTTTTCAAGACAATTGCACGTGCAGGCTAAACGACAAAACTTAGTGCATTTTTAACGGAAAAAATATATAAAAAAGACTCAAAAAGTGCGCTGCACACTGTTTTCCTTTCGGCTTTCATCGCCAAACCCACCATTAATGACAGTTGGAAACCGAAGCTTTTAATCTTCGAGTGACCCTCGAATGGTTTTCATGCTTGTTGATTCTTTAATATCCATAGTCGCATGCAGCCAACCAGGTATTATACTTCTTCACTTTTCCCTTTCTCTTTTGCAATTATTTGATTTCAGAATCTGTCTCAGGCCGAGTTTTGATCTCTTCAGTCAGGGGATTGAATACGATCTCTGGGTCTAAATCTGATGACGAAAAGGAACTCTCCTTGAATTTTCTTTTTGATTGAATTTTTGTTTTACTTGAATTTTTCCTTTTTGTTTTTGTTGTTAAATTATGGGTTAATATCTAGAATTGCAACTGAATTATCGTAAATGTAAATGTTGAAAATTTTTAATTTAGTAGTTGAATTATAAATTTGTTAATTAATATGATACTAAGAAAGCTATTTGTCAGCCACTAGTTCAAGGACAATTTGTGACGTTATCTCTGGTTTTATTTTACTCTATTTTCGCCAACTTCCAGTCTGATTTATTTGGCAATCAAGTAAATAGATTTCAAGAAAGACAACCAAAATCGGCGGACTTATTGCTTCTCATGAAAAAGAAGGAGATGAGGAGAGGTTATAATTTCAAAAACACAATTGCTTTTGTATTTTTGGTGGTGTGCTTTTGCTGTACCTTGGTGATGATCATTTCAATGCTTAAAGTTCCAGATGCAGCAGTAGGCAATAAAGCATTGCCCTTTCACAAGAACGTAAACATTCTTAAAGCCACTGATAATGGCAACTCATCACTTGGTACATTTGGGAACATGATGATTCAGATGCTACCCCAAGATCTTGCTTTCACTGTTTTTATCCCTTCGGAAATAGCTTTCGAGCGCGATTTAAGGTTACACGCGAACGATAGTTTGGTTGGGGAAAAGATGAATGACACATATGCGGTGATCTCTCGTGTGTTAGGTTTCTCAGCTGTTCCTCGCACTCTTGATTCAGCCATGGTGCCTGCAGATGAAGAGGTGTCCTATGATTCATTGTCGGGGTTCACATTGTTCATTTCAAAGGATGTAGGAGGAGTGCTGGTGGTTAATGGAGTGAAGTCAGACAGGGTTGATTTAAGGAGAGGGAAGCTTGTTATGCATGTTATGGATGGTGTTATTATGGATGCAGAGTTTGAGCAGTCGGTTCAGCCTGATTTTGATGGAACCGATTGAGTTAAGGAGGCTGGTGAGGGCTGTCTGGAACAATGGCTGGATAGCTATGATTGCCCAGTCTTTTTTATACAGTTTCACAGGCGAAATTTGATCCATAAAGAATTCAAAGATATAGTCTTGTTTTGCCTCTTTATTTTGTCAATCTGCAATTTTTGTATAACTGATGGACAAAATGAAAGATTAAGAGCAGCAGTGAAGCAGTACTTGCTGCGGTTCATCAAAACAAACTAAAGAAAAGAAGGCACATCTTTGAGCTGAGTGTTGTATTTATGTTGACGGATTAACAAAGTTATTTTTGGTCTTCATTATATTTGGTTAATGTCAAGTTAGGGAGTAATTGTATTGATACCAATTTAAATATACCAATTTAAATATACTCAAATCAAGCAATATGATTTTAGATTAAATGTAATTTCATTGTTATTTGTTTGCGTCGACATATGAGATGAATCGGTGTTTTCTAACAAAAAAATGTCTCTACTCTCACCTTCTAGTCATGTTTGATATATAGAATTATTTATAAGATAAGATAATAATTATCACATATCATGTTTAATTTGTATCTAAAAAAAGGGATATGAATTATAAGGAGGTTTAATATCCATTTGGTATAGAATATTTCAATCCTCCTCAAGTGGAGAGGATTATTTTAATCCATGAGATTAAACATACATGTCTAATTATACATTTAAAAATTATATCAATAATTTAAATTATATAAATTTTGAGAAAAGATAATTTTGACAGATAAATAAATTATTCTATCATATCTTTTACATGTATCAAGCATAAAATAAGACGATATTATTTAATTTAATCTTATTTATAATATTATCTTATCTTATCATATCTTGTGTACCAAACCTGACCTTTATATATAATATTATATTATATTTATAAGTTATATTTGATACATAGAATTATTGATAGAATAGGATAATAATTATTTGATATCATATTTAATTTGTATATAAAGAGAAGGATAAGGATTGCAAAGAGGATTAATATCTTATTGAGATATGATTATTCAATCCTTTTCAAGTGGAGATGTTTATTTTTAATTAATGAGATTAAACTTATATGTTCAATTATACCCTTAAAAATTATATCAATAACTTCAATTGTATAAATTTTGAGAAAAGATAATTTTGACAAATAAATAAATTATCCTATATAGTCATTGCATATATTAAATACAAAATAGGATGATATTATTTAATCTAATTTTATTTATAATATCATCTTATCTTATCCTATTATAATCTTATGTACTAAACATGACTATAGATCATACTTGATGTATAGGATGATGAATAGGATATGATGATAATCATCCTATAGTATGTTTGATTTATATATAAAGAAAAAAAAGAATTATAAGAAAAATTAATCCTCTTAGTATATGATGATTCAATCATTTCAAAGTTGAGAGGACTATTTTTAATCTGTGTGATGAACTTATATGTCATATTATACCCTTAAAAATTACATCAATAATTTAAATTGTATAAACTTTAAGAAAAGATAATTTTGACCAATAAATAAATTATTCTATCCCAATTTTGTATTCATCAAACACAAGATAAAATAATATTATTTAATCTAATCCTAATTATAATGTTATTTATCATATCTTATCATAATCTTATGTACCAAATATATCCATAATATATTAAATATATTTATATATAATTTACCTTTTAGATTTCGTAACTTTATTTAAAACAAAAGACAAAAAGTAATTCTCTTCCAAAATCTCTTGAGATCATCACCTCTGACAACAACACTAACGGATATCACACAGCGATAGTAACTCCGATAACTTCCATAACATGAATTTGAACTCACATCTGCATTTAAGTAAGCTTTTATTTTAGTTTAATATTGTGTTAGTTAAATGGTAAGATTAGTCTTTCTATCTTAATATGTTCAATTAGATTCATTTAATTGTCGAATTTAATCAGATTATTAACGATTCAAACTTTTTTTGTAAAATTGATGACATGACATTTTAACTTTTTGGACATGACATTTTTACTTACGTGATTGTTGACTTTGCTGACATGTAAAATTCACGTGGTAAAAAATGATGATGTGATAAACTTTTTTAACATGTCATCTTTTTTTCACGTCAACTTTTCTTAAATTATACGGCTTGTTCCTATACATTAGTTAATTGGTAAAATTAGTCTTTCAACCTTAATGTGTATTTAGATTTGATCCGTATACATTAATTAATTATTGAATTTAAGATTTGATCTAAAATAACATATAAAAAATATAAATTATTAATTCAACTATGACATTTTTTTCTATTTAGATACAATTTTTTTGGATATTTGAATTATTAATTGGACTTAATTTGACAAATTGGGTTAATCTCAAATTAGATTATAAACCTAAAATAAATTAAATTATATCTTTTCTTTATCTTTTCTTTATTTATTTATTTTGATTTTTCATTTTTTGTTAGTTTCTATTTTTAATATTTTTGAAATATAAAAAATAAAAAAAAGATTAAAAATAAAAAAAACTTTTAAAATGACAAAAATGTAAAAGTTAGTTCAAGACCCATAATCAACAAAATCAGATACACAATCAACAATAAGAGCAATTAGACATTTTATTTGTTTCGAAAATTTTTTTGATATTAAATGAGTTTCAAATTTCATCTCGATGTTAAGTTCTAAAATCATTTTTGAATTAATTGGATTTTAAGCCCAAATTTAGAAGTCCAAAAATATTTTATTTATTATTTATTAATTTATTATTATTTAATTTGTGAAAGTCAAGAAATCAAAGTCAAAAAAAAAAAAAAAAGGAAATCAAAATTGAAAAAATTAAGGAAATATGAAAATTTTTTTGTTTAGATTGGTTTGGAAAAATTTTAAAAATTCAATAACAATTGGTTTTTGGGATTGACGGTTTTCAGGTTATTTAGATAAATTTTTTCTTTAATTGTTAAATTTTTAATCAATGATTTCTAAAATTCTTATTGAAATATGAGTTCATTGAATTAGACTTGTAAAGAAAAATAAGAGAAAAACGAGGACGACAGAGGAGAAAAAAGGAAATTTTAAAAAAAATGAATTTCTTGTTTTTATAACAATTAAAAGGATGCCATTTTATAAGATAGATCTAATATAGCTCATGTATTAGCCTATACATTGATTCTGATTACAACCCGATCTATTTACATTGAAAATTTTTTTATCCTTTATTTTAGTTTACTTTTTCTTATTTTAAGGCAAACTTTAAACTCGATAATTAATTGATGAATAAGAATTAAATTTAAACATATATTGAGATAGAATGATTAATTCTATAATTTAATCAAAGTATAAGGATGAACTGTACAATTTAAAAAAATTAGTGTGAAAAAACAATGATGCATCAAAAAATTTTATCACGTCATTATCTTTGATCACGTAAACTTTACATGTCAACCAAGTAAACGACCACATAAACAAAAATATCATGTCCAAAAAGTTAAAATGTTATGTCAATAATTTTATTGAAAAAAGCTTAAACAGTTAAAAATTTAATTAAATTCGATAATTAAAGTATAAAGATCCAATTTGAACATATTAAAATAAAAAAACTAATTCCACCATTAAGCTAAAACATAAATATATATTGCATAATTTGACCTTATATAAACACCATTGTTCTTGTAAAAGTGTTTCAGTTTTGATATAAAATTTGAAGTTTCTATTGCAAAGATTCATGCAATTGTTTTTTTTTTTTATATATATATATAAAATGGAGAATGTTAGCATTCGAAATCATTGTCCATGCATGCCTACCATTTGTTATGCCGTCTAGAATAGACTGATTCTTTAGAATTCCCTTTATACGGTACAAAACAAAAAAGGAAATTTGCATACCTGAGTATTAAAAATTACAAAATCGATATTTCATGGGATGGAGCCCACTCACCCACAAGCGCTGTTGAATAAACAACCAATCTCAAAATGGCAGGCGCACGGAAAAAACTAGTTTAAAGAACAATACACAATATTCACTGCCTTTCCTTTTTTCTTTTTTTTTATAAATAATTTAAGCTTAATATTCAAAGCAAATCTGTCTCTCTCTCTCTCTCTCTCTCTCTCTCTCTCTCTATATATATATATATATATATATATATATATAAGATTGTATATACTAATCAACAATTGCTGTCAATTGGTAAAATAATGAACTCTTAATTTCAATAATCAAATTAAAACTCGACTCAAATAAAAATAAAAAAAAAATTGTATATAGCAGATAACATTTCAGAAACAAATGTTTTCCTCAGTAGCAAATTACTTTCACCAATCAAAAGTAAAAGCTCCCAGTTTTTAAAGTAAACAGGATGACAAATGTAAAGACTCCTAAAGACCTTTTTTTTTTTTTTCAAAAAATCACACTTTTATTACCCAAAAACAAATGAAAATGAACTAATTGTTACACTCTGCTGTACACACTTTTCATCCTCAGTTGTACAATACAACCTAAATAGTCTGCATTTGCAAGCCCCTAATATTGCTCTATTTAAATAACTTTTTTTTAAATAAAGATAACAAAAAAACAAAAATGCAACCTCACAACAACCCTGTGACCATAATGAATACCAATTAGCTAACTCAACCAAGAACAAAACAAAACAAAAAAGAGAGAGAATAGGGAAGATTTGTCAGACATTCAAACAATCAGATGAGGAAAAATTGGTTGAAATCCAAATATTTGTCCATCAATGACGAAACAAGCTTCCTGGGAGCAGAAGCAGCTAAATAAGCACTGATGCAGTCACTTTCACTCTCGAGAAATCGACTTCTACCACTGCAGCCGAAGAAATGAGTGCAGTTAGAATGATTCACAAATAGTGATTTAAAAAAACCAAACTTGTTGATGGAAAGAACTTGTACAGATTTACAAGCAAGTCTTCTTCCACCTGCAGCCTCATTTGCAGGGGTCTGAAGAAAAAGCAGATACATCAATGAGACCTAGAACAGTAGAAGAGCCATTTTAAGCTTGTTTTGTTTCCACTTAGGCAACTTGTAGAATTCATCCTTTTTCATCCCAAACTTCTCCTTGAACTCCTCAGATGACAGGTAAGTCTACATATTTCAAATATAAAATTTCAGAGAAGCAATAATACATATTTCAAATATAAAAATTTCCGAGAAGCAATAATCATATAAACCTAGAACTAGGGTTGGCATCGGGTCGGGTTCGGGGCGGGTTTTGCTCGCCCCGAACCCGACACTATATAAACCGTACCCGACCCGACCCTATCCGAAATTAATAAAATATTATTTTTTAAATATAAATATTTAAAAATATCATTATATAAATATATATATAATTAAAAAATTAAAAAATTAATTAAAAAATTATTTTTATATATATATCGGGTCGGGTAGGGTCGGGTTTGCCTAAAACCCGACCCCGACTTTGTCTTCATGCTACCCGACCCAACCCCCGATTT